CCCATTTCATCAAGGATTATTCTCGTTACGTTCAGAGGAAAGATAAAAGATGTGACAATTATTCAATGCTATGCATCAGAAGAAGCTGAAATAAAAGTGAAATTCTATGCACAACTAGAGGAGACTATGCGAACAATCAAGAAAAAAGATATAGTCATTGTTATGGATAATGCAAAAGTAGCAGCTGATAACCTAGGCCTAGAACAAGTGATGGATCGGTATAGAATAGCTGATAGAAGTGATAACGGAGAAAGACTGATAGACTTTTGCGCTAATAATGATCTAATCGGCGGCTCTATCTTCCCTCATAAGAGATGCCATAAAATGTCATGAGTGTCCTCTTCATATTCAAAACCAAATCGACCACTTTACCACCAGAAGAAAGTGGAGGAGATCTCTACTGGACGTCAGAAACTGGAAGAGTGCGGATATAGATGGCGACCATCACCTGATGACTGCACGCATCCGCATTAAAATTGCGGCTAACAGGAAAACATATACCCCCAGCGAAGAAGATTCGATGTAGGGAAACTGCGCGAAGAGAGATACAAACAACAATTCAAAGTGACATTATCAACAGGTTTGAGGAACTGCGAATGGAGAAGAATGATAACATCGAGGAGCAAGATAAAGAGCGCATTTAAACACGGCAGAAAGAGTACTATCGACAACCTAGAAGGAAAAAATGGATGACTACGAACATCTGGAAGCTCATAAAAGAGAGAGAGAGAGAGGGAGAGAGAGAGAGCTGAAACTCAAACTGAACAATAGTAGAACCCAAAAAGCTGAACTCCAAACAGCTTACCTAAACAAAAAACGGAAAGTAAAGAAGAGTACTAAGATGGACCGCAAGCAGTGGATAGTCAATTTAACTCAAAGAGCGGAATCCGCATCAAGTGATAGGAGAACATGAAGGAGTTGTACGATATCACGAAGACGCTAACTGGGAAAACTCATTCGGAATCGACCAATTAAGAACAAAGAGGGCACACTTTTCACTAATGAGGAGGAGCAATTGACCAGGTGGCGAGAAACACTTTGAAGAAATACTAAACCAGGGAAATGCAGAAAATGAAACTTCTGAAGAGAAAGAAGAAGATAACACATCAAGTTGCGACATAGGATCCAAGTCACTCTCGAGGAAGGAAATTAAAACATCAATAAAGCAGATCAAGAACGGAAAGGCACTAGGCATTGACAACATTGCGCTAGAACTATCGGTGGATTGCGACTGATCTCCTGCATCCGCTGTTTAACAGGATATGGTGCTGGAAGTATGCCCAAGAAATGGAGAAAAGATCTTTTGATCAAAGTACCAAAGAAAGGAGATGCAATAATTGCAGAGGAATCACGTTGCTATCAATTCCCAGTAAAGTGTTGTCAAGAGCGATTCTCAACAGAATCAAATTCCAAGTGAAAAAACAATTCAGGAAAGAACAGGCAAACCTCAGGAGCAATTGATCTTGCACAGATCAAATTAATACACCCCGGATTATTATCGAACAATCAAATGAATTCATTTCCCATTTACACCTTTTGTGAACTTTGAAAAAGTCTTCGACTCCATAAAACGGAGTAGCATGTGGAAGGCATTAAAGAGATTTGCTATACCCGAGAAAATCATTGAAATCATCCAAGAGGCCTATAACGACTTTACATGTAGGATCGTACACCAGGAGAAAATCACGGAACCATTCGCAGTTAATTCCGGTGTGAGACAGGGATGCATCTTGTCACCCACCATTTTCCTGGCCATGCTTGATGAAGTAATGAAGAGTATCACAGAGGGGAAGAAGAGAGATATACAATGGGGACTCATCGAAAGATTGGAAGATCTGAACTTTGCAGACGACATCTGTTTGTTAACATAGAGCTACACTGATATTGAGGGAAAACTTCGAAATCTTGAAGCGGAGGCCAGAATAACAGGGGTAAGGATGAATATTGTTAAAACCAAGAGGATGAAAATCAACACCAGAGACCAAAGAGAAATCTATATAAATAACAAGAAGGTAGAAGAAATGGAAGAGTTCACATACCTCGGCAGTGTTGTGACCCGGGAAGGAGGGGCAACCGCAGATGCCAAAGCAAGAATCCGCAAAGCAAACGCGGCCTTTATCCAACTTTACTCACTAGGGAGGATGAGAGAGATTTCAAATAGAATCAAACTTCGCATCTTCAGGACCAACGTTAAGGCGATATTATTATATGGTTGTGAAACCTGGAAGGTTACCTCAGAAATCACTAGGGACCTCCAAGTCTTCATCAATAGATATCTGCGAAGGATATTGCGCGTCTTTTGGCCAAGAGTGATCTCCAATGAAGAACTATGGAGACAGACGAAAGAAGAAACCTATAGACAAACAAATTAGGTGCAGGAAATGAAATTGGATTGGACACACTCTAAGAAAAAATCGGAGTGCAATAGAGAGACAGGCCCTGTTTTGGAACCCCCAGGGACATCGAAAGAAAGAGAGACCGCGAATATATCATGAAGAAAAACGGTGGAGAGGGAAGCAAAAAGGGCGGGAAAAACCTTCGAAGAACTAAAGAAGTTGGCTGGGAACAGGGTTCGCTGGCGCAGCTTTGTCGAGGCCCTGCTCTGATTAAAAGCGAAAGGAAGTGACTAAATAAAGGATGTACCGCATAGTAATGAACAAATAGAACGAATGTAAAACGAGTGTAAAACGAATTATTATTTCTTTATTTGATAAGCTTTCAACGTCTTATTTGAAAATTGATACAAATATGTGCCACTATAAAGTGCAATAATGTTTGAATTTTACATCTTCTAGGAGTACGGGATTAATCCCATTTGAATTACTAATTGGGCTCTAGTCAATGTGACTACGAGATAATTTTGAGCTGAGAAAGCTTATTAAAAAGGATTTGATAAGATTCGATATAAGAAAAGCGATTAAAATTACGTGAATAGGCTAAAAATGCAATTGAGAAAATACAGCGCAAGAATTGCTTGAGTAACCGAAAGCAAAAAAAGCGGATATATATCCAGAAGATAATCTAGTCATCAAACTTATAATACTTTTAGAGAATTTAACTCGAAATATTTAAGACTACGTGATTGTAAAAATTTTGTAAATCAATCGATGTATTTAAAGTCAATGAATATAAAGGACTAAAAGTAGCGTTTCCATTGGTTATATTAAAAGTTAACTCATGAATATTTAAGCGACATTGATTGTACTGACGACAATTTTGATTGCGATTATGTAACGATTAGTGACATGACATGTCCTATTTGATCAGAGACCGATGTCGAATTAGTATGATCGAATATAGAAGCAGAAGATAGTGCGTTTATATACGCATGTTTCGGCATGTACGTTTTGATCCGTGCCGCAATTGTCGGCATAAGAGTTCAGAAAATGCAATGACGTTTCGAGTGCGTAGCGATGTAGATTATTGGTGAGAAGCGATAAGTGATAGCCCGATTGTTTTTATCTTATATCTTTTATCTTTTATCGGCTACTAGATTACAATCGTGCTCGTGAGCAGCATAATCAATCGATAGGAAGCTGAGCTAATGCGTAAGAACTAATGAATGATGTGTATAATTTTTCCAAAACTATTAACTCTTACATATTATACTCATTATATTTATTATAATAATGTCTTTTCCTTTTTCTTTTTTCTCCTAAGATCATATTTGCGTATTATAAGATGGTACAGAAAGACAAGATCTGCAGCAGTATTTAGTCTGATGTAACATATCACTCGATGCGGATTATTATATGGAACTCGTTACTCATAATAATATACATGTATCTTTCCCTCTCTCTCTTTTCCCACCTTTTTTCTCACCTCTTTCTCCTTTCCTTTTCCCTCTTTCTGTGTCATGCATGCATCCAGAAATAAATAAAAAAATCATAAAATAGCTAAGAATTTATTATATATGTTTTTCTATCAGAAAGGTGAAATTAACGAATAAGAGAAACATAATGATATTTCAAATATATGATTCAAACACATTTATGCAAATTATTTCCAGAAGTTCAAGAAGTCTAGAAACCCTATTAGGTATTATTATTATTATAAGTAACTCTATCATTGTTAGATTTATCAAATGCTTCGAAATTTTTCAATTAAGAAACATCAACATTAACGAGAACATATACGAAATGTAGATTTTCATGTTTGATACTTTGAAAAAAATGATTGTTAAAGGAATGTAACTTGAATCTGAAGTTTCTCAATAGCTTGTCAAAAGATATTGGAATATGGTACAATATATCTATTTACAATATTTTAACTATTACTATAGATAGAAGATATTGCTTTAAGCACTATGAAACTAAATGGTACTCTCTTTATTAATGAGAGAACAATTTGATTGCGTAAATTACTAGATAATATGAGTGTCATTAGACAAATCATTTAATGATTGACCAGTAAGGTTTTACTTAATTAGTAAAGAAATCGGTATTGCATGAATATGCCACATACATTTTAGTTTAACACTTTATTCTTGAAATAGTAGAAAGTTACGAGATGGATAAACAATAAATGTTTATATTCTTGTATTATAAAAAATCAATAATTTTATAATGAAAAGGTATACATAAAATAATTTCTTACCATTATAACATTTGATTTGATTAAAAAATCTCAGTAAAAATATATCTAAGTTAAAAAAAAGTCTAATTAAAAAGAAACTGAATAAGAAAGTTTACTGTAATGAATCAAAATAATTATTTATTCGAATTACTTCGTTTATTTTTAAGACATACTAATTTGTGAGACTTTAATTCTTTTAGAATTATATAATTCTTTCGTTTCTTTTTGTGTCTTTTTTTTATTTAAGTGAATTATATTCTATTTATTTAATTTTTGATAAAGTTGTGTTTAGATACATAAGTGTTAATGTACTATAATATATATTTAAGTTTATAGAATTGTTATTCAGATATAATTTCTATACTTTTTTTAATACTTTTGATAAATATTTTCTATGAAAGCTAAAAATTAAAAAGGACTTTTACCATTTGTGACGTTTCCAATATATTGATTACTTCTGACGGTTGTAAATCACATAATGCTTTCCGATTGATTGCGGTAATCTTATCGCCAGGTAAAAGTATGCCACTTCGTTCGGCAGGACTACCTGCTTCCACCAAACTCACTATATAATTCATGTGATCATCATTCAATTTAAGTGCAAGCCCAAAACCACGATGATCCGGCCGCAGAACAACTGTCAAACTTTCTTTCATTTGAAAAGTCTGGTTTGAATTCTGAGTTTGTAACTGTGCTTTTCTCTTAGCTGTTTTCGCGCTTGGAAGTCGCGGTAGTATTTGCAATTTGGCGATGCGACAACTTTCGGAATTGTATCTAAGCAATTTAGCAGCAGTTATCACGTCCTGAACAGATATGTCATCCACTGCTAATAGCCGATCTCCTGCTTGGAGAGCACCACAGCGATCTGCTGTGCTCGCCGGACGAAGACTGTCGATATAAACTCCATTTAATGTTTCTTTTACTGTTAAACCAAGCTCTCCTGAAAATATCCAATTTGATTTAATGTTGATCAAAGTTTAAGTTTATTTTATTTATTTTACTTCTAAACTAAAAATATTCATAAGCATTGCTATCATTTAAGTTATACAGAAATTTTGCTGAATATTGATTTGAACTTTATATGTACTTATATATAGGTAAAAAGATGAAAATATAGAAATTTTTATTAATTTTTAATAAATAAAATCATCTTTCATAAAATGATTTTCGGTTTTTCTTGATATATTGGATAGGTTAATAATTTTTAATAATAAAAAGGTGCGATTTTTGGAGCATTGATAGATGGTTTTTGGCGTTTTGAACTTAAAGCTATTTTCAGTTCAAGCTTAGAAGCGCATAATGTAATAAGTGATATTTCAACTTACATTTAAAAAGTGTGAAGATTGTGTTTGGTTGTGTTTTGTGTTTGGCATCATTTGAAAGATGGATACAGGTATAGTGATAAGGGTCACCAGTTATGGAAGATATATTATATATACGGTAGCGCAATGTTCGCAAGTGTGAGTATTGAAGAGACGTGTAATAGGTGTGTGGAGATAGGTGTGTGAAGGTTAAGGCTGGATCCTCATGCAGACACCGGCGCTTTGACACACAGAACGCTAATTGATGAAAAATGAGTGGTGGGAGTAAATAGTACTTACTGCGCCTCGAATACTTATTATTTGCGCTATCGTATATATAATATATCGCTCTTAATTAGCGCTTTCCAGCCTAACTATTCGACACACTAGAATATAACTAGAAATCGATTTTATGCCTTTTCTGTACAGCATTTACGAGTAATGTTTAATGAACGAGTAATGTTTTGATCACTCTTTAGTTATATGATATGATTGTGAATGCAGAATTCCGTTGATTATAGTTTTGATTCTGATATTTTTGATATATGCACGATTGAAATAATTAACAAAATGTGCATATAGACATTTACGAAAAGGACTATATTTTATTGCATTGTTACATACACAATTTATTACATAATTCATTCTCTTGTTTACTATCGCACATCAAATTTATTTCGGATAAATTTATTTCTCGAAATCGACCGTTGCGAGGCATCACACGTAAGACGAGGTACGTACATGTGCGCTCGACACATTGGGTTGGCAGAGAGAACAGAAATCATCCTACTCTCTCGCGCCCATGCCTGTGAGTAAAGAATAGGAATATCGTTGTACTCTCTCGCGCTCTCGACGCGTATGAGAAGGAAATAGAAATATTATCGTACTCTTTCGCGTTTCATGCACCGTGCGATCGTCGAGCATCTTCGACGTTATTTGATCACCGCTCGTTATTTTTGATATATATAGTATGAATTAAAAAGAGTAAGCAGATATGAAAATAATGTATGAAAAAATTCAAAAATTGTTATATCCTTTACTTGTCATATTCATAATGACCTGTTATATAATTTTATAAGATTATAATAACTGAAGAGTCTAATAAATGAGTGACAATAAGTACGAAATTATTTTCTTATTACAATCTTATTGTATATATATATTCCAACTCTTAAAAATGGAAAATTTATTATATTTCAGATAATTAATTACAAATTACAAGTTACGCATATTTTTGCTCATATCAAATAAAAAGAAGAGAGAAAGAAGAAATAATTTGATTATTTCATTTATCGTTCAATAAATGTCTTGTCAAATTTGTAAATAATTATTCAAAACTATGAATTTCTTAAAGATTTTCAAAACATATATTATACATTTATACTGAGAAAATAATTTCATACACATTCTTATTTATTACACAATTATAATTTTTATACATAAATTTATAGATAAAATTATATACGATTATATATAACGATTATATTTTCGTTTCTCTTCATGCATTGTTAATGTCTGTTTATTCTTTTTCAATTTCATTTGCTATACTACGTTAGCAACAATGAACGATAATCAAAAAATGCTGGACCATCGCACGGTGCATACTGCACGAAAGAATATATTTCTATTTCCTTCTCATACGCGTCGCGAGCGCGAGAGAGTACAACGATATTCCTATTTCTGTTAGTTACCTGGCGCGTCCAGGTTGGCGAGAGGAGTAGGATGTATTTCTATTCTCTTCGGCCGACCAAACTGAGCGTCGAGCGCCATGTACGTGCACTGTGCGTGCGTGCGTGCGCGCGCGCGCGCGCGCGCGCGCGCGCGTGTGTGTGTGTGTGTGTGTGTGTGGATGGGTGTGTGTGGAGTGCTGGGGGGGGATGCGCCTCATATCGGTCCTATATTGCAGCGGCCGATTTCGAGAAATAAATTTATCGGAAATAAATTTGATGTGCGACAGTAAAAAAGAGAATAAATTATATAATAAATTGTGTGTATAATAATACAATAAAGTATAATCCTTTCCGCAAATATGTCTGTTGCACGTTTTGTTAACTATTTCAATGTATACAATAAAAATATCAAAATCGAAACGATGACGATGACGATGATGAAGGTCTACAAAGTCTAAATATATAAAATATAATATTTATATTATATTTTATATATTTATATAATATATTTATAATATTTATATATATAAATAATGTACAAATATATTACATTATATATTTGTAATGTCCAATGATATAAATTGTTCATATTTTTAAAGATACCCGCACCATGATAAAAATTCACAAATATACAGCGCCATAACGTTTTTATTTTGCAAATAAAATGTTATTAAAAATTTTTTGCAACTATGGGCAACTATGCTAAGATAAGACTTGAGCTATATGCCAAACGCAAAGAAATCCTTAGTACAAGGGTCGACAAAACACTGAAATTTGGCACGGGCGTTCGCGAGCGCCCGCGAGTGCCCACCTATTGTGCACATCTCAGGAGCGTATCTAATATTTTTAATACCTTGGGATAAAGTTCCGCATTTCTAAATGAAACTTAATTTATGGATCAATCAATTTCAATCTCGACAGTTGTTGCATTTTTCAAATTTATTATCTGTTGCCATGCACATTCAAAATAAGCATGAAGAATATAAATTATGAAGAATATAAATTCACTTCAATTGTTACATAATGAATTCGATTGTTGGGAAATACATGTTTTAGAAGAAGATTTACTTATTTTTATGACACCTTTTACTGTTGATATTAATATTGTTCCCGCAGATATACAATTAGAATTAATGGATTTAAAATGTGACACTGCTCTTAAAAATCGTTTTTATAAAATGACTGACATCATATAATGGGAGACTGCGTATTTGAATAGCCACTTTCGTGGCGTCAGTTATTTAATCCGCCGACTATCCATCCACAAATATTTAGATAATGCCATATGTTGATAAGGGCCCACTACCTAACTATCATCCCTAAAAATTCTCCCCGTACCAATCAGACTCTTTTTCCAAAATTCTGAACTGTGATAGGCTAACTCCCCTCACATCCCTAATAACTCGCTAATTTCTATTCGTTAAAGCGAGATATTCTTAATTTCCGAACCGAAGCTCCACCCCGCGACAGCTTTTTCACCAGGATCCTCCCGTGAGGAAACACACTTTGAAACCACACCTCGCACTTGTTCTTTGACCGATAGTTTTCACGCGCTCTGATCCGTTAGTTTTTTTTTTTACGAGCAATCTTAAATCTTTTTTTGGGGAGCATTCGTGTACCTGCCCGTCAGTTCGCATTCGCTTTTAACTCTCGGTTTAGTTTTGTCGATTCTCTCCGAAGTAAACGCAGATTTAGTTAATAAACTTTAATATCGGGACGTGATATATATTAAATTAAAATAAACTTGTAACCCTTCGTTTAATTATCACTTTATTAAATTTGAGCGAGAGTTCCTTTTGTGCCCTTGTCTTCCAATTTCCCTGCGGAATCCTGCAGAGAACCATTGGCCGCTGATCCCGATCCCCAGCTTGTCTCTCGACGATCTACCTGCAACGACATTTCTTGTTATCATCACAGTAGTAAGTCGCATGGATTAATACGATCTACCCATCACTTAAATATCGTTTGTTCTCCTTCCTCTCCTCCCTCTTACTTACTTCTCTGAGCCTACCGTCCTTAAGATTTAACACTTTTACACAATTTTACACTTACATAATTGTTTGTTTAAATTATTTATTTTTTTGTTCAATTATTTATACTGTAAAAACCGGGCATGGCCTTAAATATTTTAACGTAGAGGCTTACCCCGAACTGCCATGCCCGACGACCTCCGCACTTTTGTAACACCCGCGTGCTACACTTACATGCAATTTTACTCCACTCTCATGCGCCCATTCGGAATGATATTAATTATCTACCGTTATCATTATTTACCGAGTAATCACTATGCGTATCATTTCTCCTTTAAGTATTTGTGTTTTAATTCTGTACTTTCTTCATTTTAATTAATTAAATGATTACTTTAACGATCAATCAATTTATTCATTAATAATTTAACTCTCTCGTCACGCTCTCGCCCGCTGTCGGGGATCGATTCTATCCCAGGCAAAAGATTAAATTCTCTTGCCTAAATTAACGGACCGACGTACGTCACGCAATCGGAGTCATAGCGTCTTTTTCAAATTCTTTTCATGTTGACCCGTATCATCTGACCTGTACGATGCATTCGACTCGCAGGCACACTCCAGAGCGGCCACCTGCGAGAGGATATTCGGTGCGCCTTCCTTGCCCCCTTCCATCCTTTCGATCTTTAACTAATAATTTCGGAGTCTGGACGTAACATATCCAGAGATAGAAAAATTGGGGACCCCTCCGGGATGAAAATTGCGATCTTTACAAACGGGAATGAGTACGACGAGATCTAAATCGGACAAAACGGAAGTAACTGAACAATATAAATATGCTATAGAATCGCAGAACAAATCAAAATCTAATTTAAAAGGCTCAGTTCCTCTCCCTACCTCAACTTTCGTCGGAACTTTGAAAACCACATCCCGACACGTGCATTTTCCTGACGACAGTGTAATTACTGAAGAGAAATATTGTTTTAGAATCGCCGGAATCTGATT